TTCATGTGCTTCTTAGCCATCTGGATGTCTTCTTTGGTGAAGTGTCTGTTCATATCCTGCACCCATTTTTCTATTGGATTATTTACCTTTATCTTGTTGTGGTGCTCTAGTATTTTATAAATTCTGTATGTAAATTCTTTATCTGATATGTCATTACAAAATACTTTTTCCCAGTCAGTGGCTTCCCTGTTTACCCTGTTGGAGAAATTTTTGGATGTGGATAGGGATTTGATTCTTAGAAGATCCCATTCATCTACTTGATCTTCTCCTGGTTGTAGGATTGATAATTTTAAGTGTCAAGTTTTCCAAGTTATCAACCTGGTAGGTTATGTACTACCCCACAGCTTCTGCTTCAGATTATAGTAATGGGATAATTCTTCTGCTATATTTTATATTCAGTTGCTTCTTTATATATAGCTTTTGCTAATCTACTAAGAATAACATTAAAGGAAATACACACTTGTAGACTAGACATTGTGCCTGAGAAAAGATTGAAGAATTGAAGTTTTTACATTTGTTTTGGAAGCAGAATAGATAATTTTTTAATAGAAGATATTTTTTAAAAAATATCAAAATAAAAAGCTGTTTTATGTGAATGATGCTAAAGCATAGTTTAAAGACTTTAAATGATTCAATCGGTTTAAATAGAGGAAAGATTTAATTTAAATATTGGAAAAATTTTTTAAACATATGAAAATTATGTATGAATAGTGATGTTAAAGAAAAGGAAAAATGTCTGGGTTGATGGAATTATTAAATTTCTTAGAGACCTTTTTTTCCTTATTAAAGAAAGATAAGATTCTGTGACATACATCTAATGCCTCTAATACACCTACTTGGTCATGTCTTGAGTTTACTTTTCTTCTCTTTGTCTAGAAAATTAAGATTGCGGCCCTACGCATGTATACTAGCTGTGTGGAGAAAACGGACTTCGAAGAGTTCTTTCTAAGTAAGTTACTATCTGATAATTGTGAAAAATAAAAATTTTATTACGGTATATTAAGAGAATGGTTGTTTTTGTTGTTAGGTGCTGTCAAGTCAAGTACGAACTCATAGTGACCCTATAAACAAAAGATTTGAACCTTGTTCTATCCTGGATTATCCTCACTATTCCTAACACACAAGAGTTCATTGCAGCAGTCACCATTTCAGTCAACCTGGTTGAGGATCTTCCTCTCCTTTGCTGACCCTCCACCCTTCCCAACATCATTTCCTTCTCCAAGAAATAGCCCCTCCTAGCAACATGCCCATAATATATGAGGTGAAGCGTGTGATATTAATGATATTGTT